AGTTACAGTGGATTTAACTGTGTATATTTTTTCCAGTAAAACCAGGTCTCCTAGTTGAGCAATCTCAAAGGTAAAATATGAAAAAACAAGATTAAATTACACATGGTTTTGGCTCTAGTTAGAAAAGGGTTAACAGTGACATGTTTTTATCTTGTATTCTTAGCCTTTAGAACACAGACATAGATTCTGTTTTTTAATGCAAATACTGCATGTTTTCCAGATAACAACTGATGTGTTACTGTTGGTTACCAGAAGAATCAAACCTTAAAACAGTGCTGTAAGAGGAAGGGAGGTTTCTACACACCCGTCCCTCCCGTTCTGTGCTTGATAAATGACACAGCAATCAAACACTTGACTTTATTTCAAGAAGAGACTTTGGATAACACGAAATTATTCACATAAGCAAGTCTGGTCTTGTCCCCCAAGCATTTTTTCCTGCGTGTGTTTGTCTCCAAGTGTTTGCAAACATGTTTGGGGAGGCGATACAAGCATTTAGTGAACGGGTGACAAGTATAGAGTCATGAAAATACAATGACTAAGATTTTCAGTTTGTTTGTCCACATCAGTCACAAAATGACAGACGTTTTCGGGGTGGTGGGCCTGTTTGCTGACTCTGTGTGAGCCGTTAAATGATTATCTCCGCACGTGACTTTAAAGAGGGGGCATGGTTTGTTTTCCTGCTGGATGGGGGGCGGGGAGGACACAGTTATGAAATGACATCTTCAGAGTCATGGTTTTGAAATACTTTGCTGTGAGGGAGGCTGTTTGGGCCCCGTGAAAAAGCCTCTATTGTCTTGCCCACAGATCCTTCAAGTTTCTCAACCCGTCACTTGGAAAGAGGGAGTGTAGGAGAAGCCAGCCAAACTAATCCTTGTTCCATCAGTCACAGCAGCAACAGCAGAGTCAATAGGAAAATCTAAACTGTGGGAAAGTAGACGAGAAGGAACAAAAGCAGGAACCTTTAAATATTAACTATAAAAAGTTTTTTGTGTTTTGTTCTAATGCACAGCCGACATCTTGGCATGTCATAGCAGGAAACTCACAGGTGTAATAATGATTCCTGCATTCTCCTTCGTGGAGGTCTTATTGGGCTATTGTGCATGCTGGTTTCAATGTCACTGCTACCGGGAACTGAGCTATTGTAATTATTACTGTGCAACCAGTCCACTGCATGCAGGAGTCATGTAATCAGTTAAATGGAAATCACCTGTGCGTAGTCAAGGAAGCTCAGTTGTATAAGAGTCCTTTGTGTATGGACGATCCAGAGTTTTTTTTTTTTTTTTTGGGGGGGGGGTGGGGCAGTATTGTGGCAAAACTTTCACTGTTGAAAACCAAAGAAACCCCTCATGCTACAATGACAATGGTAAAATGCTGATGTAAAGCAGGTGTAATGTTTTTTATGTATATAACTTATTTACTATCTTGTGTCTCGTGTTAGCATACTAACATTTGCCAATTAGCACTGAACACAAAGTGCAGCTGTTAGTTTAGCCAGAATTTTGTCATAAACCAAAGTGCTGCACAAATATTTTAAATTCTTCAGAGGTCACCAGAGTTATCAGAACTGATCATGAGGGGGATGTGAATGTGTGCACTAAATTTCATGACTTTCCATCCATTAGTTGTGAGATATTTCTATCAGAACCGCATGCAAACCTCATGGTGGCTCTAGAGGAAGTCAGGGGAAGTTGTTAGAACAGACCTTTTCCACAGCAGCCAATGTGACAGGAAACAGAGTAAACACAGGCGTTACCAGTGATGGTAATTAAGGTTAAATTAATTAATTAATATCCAAATTATATAACAATCCAAATTAATGGTTGGTGAGATATTTCAGTCTGGACCAAAGTGGTGGTCCAACTGAGTTGACTGACGGACCACTACTAGCATGGCTAATAAGTCACATGATCACTGACCTGCAGCTTTTTTTGGGGGGGTCTGAGACCAACATTGAGCTTTTTTTGACCAAACACTGCACATAATCAAAATGTAGGACCCCCAGTGTTAGCATTCTGGTGGCAGCATCGTGCTGTGGGGATGGTGTTCTGCAGGAGCTCCTGGAAGCCCTGTGACGGGAAAAAACTGACACAGATGCAAGAAACCTGCTACTTGGAAGAAGGCAAGACAATGAGCTTCAGTATAAGCTACACAGGAACAGTTTAAAAAAAAAAAGAGAGAAATGTTAATGTCGCGGAGTCCAAATCTCACTCGAATCAAGAATTTGTGGCAACCTGACAGAGCTGGAGCAGAGAAAAAACTGCAGCATCCAGATGTGCAAAGCTGACTGAGACCTATCCAC